GCCTGCAAGCGGGGGCCCCACCCGGCGTCGCGGCGGCCCCCTTCGCCCGGAGCTCTGGGCAGGCAGCGATGCGGGGGCGAAAGGAGAGCCAACCTATGCGTTATTACCGTTAGCAGCGAAGACAGCGACGGAGCTAGCGTCTCCCTTCGCTTCCGCCCCCTCGAGCAGGAACCGGAAATCCGGCTGCCCCGGATCACGTGAACAGCCGCCATCTTGCCCGCAGTGGTCGCCGCTTCGAGGAGGAGGCGTGTCAGTCAGGCTCCGCTGCTCCGAGGCGTGGCTTCCAAGCTGGGGGGAAGGTTCCGTGGATCGTGAGGGGAGGTGGAGGAGATGGCGGCGACGGCGCGGGAAGATGGCGTCCGCAGCCTGGAGCGAGGGCGGCGGGGCTGCGAGCACTACGATCGGGGCTGTCTCCTCAAGGTGACGACTTTAAAGGGCGCTTCCTGAAGGGGTGCCGGGTTAGGCGGGGGCGGCTTGGGCCGGGTGGTTAGGCTTGGGCGTAAGTTTCAGACTGATCGGCTTGTTGAGATGCCTTCTGCATCTGGGATGGGTTCCCCTTGCAGGGAAGTCTTTTTGGGCAGGGTGAGCACGAGCCCTGGACTCGATCTCAGCGTTTGGACTTTGCAAGCCGAGTTCTTGTTCGTAGAGAGCCGGGCCTCGCACGGAGTCCCTTCCGCAATGGCTTGAGTCGTCATTTGCGGTTGACAGCAGAAGGAGGTAGTGGCAGGCCTGTCCTGAGCATTGCTCCAGGACCTCTGTCAGATGTGGAGGACGGTGAGGAGGCGAAGCAAAGAGAAAATCAGAATATAACTTCTGTTCGTGTATCAAGTTCAGGGTCTGGCCTGTCAGCTTCGTTTTGTTGTCTAGGAGATGGCCAGACCTGTCAAGGAGAAACTATGAAAGTGTGATATGAGAAACAGTGTGTGATTGCCATTACATTGGCTTTCAGGGAAATGCCTAGGACGTTTATGCTATTATTTTTGCTGCTTAAGAAACCTAGTCATTTAGAGTTTTTAAAAATGGCTTTCACACAGTTAAGAGTTTTCTGACTTTTTTTTTTAACTTAGAGTTAATACATTTTATTTTATTATTTTTTTTAAATTTATTTATTTATTAAAAATTTCCACCTCCCCACCTCCCCTTTCCCTCCCCCTCCCCCTCCCTATTCAATCCTGCTTTGTGGGAGCCTGGTTTGGATGCTCACCTTCATAGACCTGGATGGAAGTGGGAGGACCTTGGACTTCCCACGGGGCAGGGAACCTTGACTGCTTTTAGGACTGACTTTTTTTTTTTAAGGAAGCAGTGGGACTATTTTGTTGAGAAAGCCCGATATTTGATCTGGGGGAGTAGTTCAGCGGTAGACCTTGTGCTTAAAATGCTGGAGGCCCCGGTTCAGCTAGGGCTTCAGAAATCTCCTCCGACTGAGAAGAAACTTGATTGCTGGAATCCTATAGCTTAACCCCACCTTAGTTCTATTCCAGATTTACTCTGTAATTTTGAGCAAGCTGCTTTTTAAATGGCTTGCATATAAAATGTCAATTTCTGAAGTCCCCCCTCCCCCGCTTTTTTTTCTTTTTTGGTTTTATGATACTGGGTTTCTCTGTGTAACAGCCCTAGCTGTCCCTTAGACCAGGCTGAACTGGGAGAGATCCGCCAGCCTCTGCCTCCTGAGTGCTGGGATTAAAGGCGTGTGCCACCACCGCCTGGCTAGAAGTTCCTTTTTCCATGGCTGGTGTTAGAGGTAAAGGCCTGTAGTTCTATCAGAGGTGCACTTCCAGCTATGTGTGAAGCGGAGGCAGTAGAGATGCCAGCCTGGGGGTGCTACTGCCAGGAAGGAAGAGAAAAAGGGTCGGGAGAGGTGACACGTGTGTGTGTGTGTGTGTGTGTGTGTGTGTGTGTGTGTAGTACTAACCTCACCAGAGAGTCTATAGGTTCACTCTCCACTGCCGTGGGGAAAGTCCCTCTTTTATTAATAATACAGTTGTTTAGGAGGTGCATTCCCAGAAATGAGTAGTAGATATTAATCACCACTGTCAGTCATCAGCATTTTTTTCTCTTTCTTTCTCTCTTTCTTTCTTTCTCTCTCTCTTTCTTTCTTTCTTTCTTTCTTTCTTTCTTTCTTTCTTTTTTTCTCCCATTTCACTTTACCAGTCAGCCCTGCTGGTCACTGACCTTGAAAGCTAGGATTAAATGATACACTTAGATCTGTGGGACAATTTAAACCCTTTCCTGTAGGCCAAGGATTGGTGAATATTGTTTCATTGCACTGGATGGAGTTCTTTTAGACTGATCAGTTATCAAATGTTGTGTAAGCAGTTGAATACTGTTCTTCTGATTGCATTTCTACTACAATATTTTCATAGGCTCAAAGTCAGATATGGAACTGAATTTCCCAACTTGCCCTTCCCTGGCCTCTGCAAAGCAATTTCACAGACACATTTGTGTTTCAGAGCACTTTAACTGCTTTTCCCTAAGTGTCTAGCATTGCTCTTCTTTCCGCTCTCCCTCTTCCTTAAGTAGGAGAGGCCGACTGAGGTCTTTGAAGGAGCAAGCTCAAGTGCAGCCGTCAATCAGAGAAGGAGTGACAGTTGACCTTTGGTTTGTCAAGGGGAAGGTCAAGGTTGATCTTGACAAGAGAAATGTCAATAAAATGATCCAAAATAAAGATTTATTGGAGTGGATACTGGAAATAACAGAATTTTTGGATTTTTATTGCAAAGGAGAGCAAATGCCGTTGTTTTGCTGAAGACGTTTTTGTACACTGGGGCAATGATCTAAGAGGTCGCTTGGTAATGCAGCAGGAAAAGGGAGCATTCTAGGGCTACTGTTCTTGCTTGAGTAGTCAACGTGAAGCCGATCTTGGCTGCAAGCCTGGGCTAACTAGAGTCTTTGTAGATGAAGACAAGGCAGAGTGCAGTAGTTTGGTTCTGTAATAAACACCATAACCCAAAACTACTTGAAGAACAAAGGGTTTATTGCTTACACTTCTTATGACAGTTCATTAGGGGAAGCCAAGCCAGAATCTCATGAAGAGCAGGAACCTGGAAGTAGGAACTGAAGTTGAGGCTATGGAATGCTGCTTACTACTGGCTTGCACTCCATGGCTCGCTCAGCATCCTTTCTTATATAATACAGGATCACCTGCCCAGGGATGGCAGTGATGGCAGTGGTCTGGGCCTTCATACATCAGTCATGAATCCAAAAAATGCCCACAGGTGTTAGAACTGGGTAATCTGATGGAGGCAAATCCTCAGTTGAGGTTCCCACTTCCCAAGTGATTCTAGTTTCTGTCTAGTTTCTACCTAGAAGATAAAGCATATTTATTCTCAAGAAGGTTGATAGATCTTGTGGGTGAGTTTATTTTGATTACTACTATTTTGATAGTAAAATTAGTAACAAGATCATTAACAGACAGACTGTTACCAGGAAGAAGGAGGTATTCAGAGTTTTAAAGGGGAAACTGTAAAAGGAGCATCTAGATCACTGGTTCTCAATGTGGGGGTTAGACGTAGGGAGTGGAATGACCCTCTCACAAGGGTTGTATATCTGATATCCTACATAGCAGATATTTACATTATGATTCATAACAATTGGTTATAAAAATCACAGGAAGTGGCAATAAAATAATTTTGTGGTTGGGGTTATGTAACATGAGGGCCTGCTTTGGGGGTTTCTGTCCTGCCCAGTTACCACAGCCGGCAAGTCTCAAAGAAAATCACACAGAGGTCTCTATAAGTTATATAAATGGATTGGCTCATTAGCTCAGGCTTCGTATTAGCTCTTATAACTTATATTAGCCCATTATTTTTATCTGTGTTAGCCACAGCTTGGTACCTTTTTCAGTGGGGCAGCTCACATCTTGCTTCTTCCTTGGTCTGGAGAAGACTGTGGAAAGAGCTTCCTTCCCAGAATACTTCTGTTCTCATTGCCCCGTCTCTATTTCCTGTCTGATTGTCCTGCCCCTACTTCCTGCTTGGCTACTGGCCAATCAGAGTTTATTTAAAACGTAATTGACAGAATTTAGAATTGTTCTACACCACTCCCCCCCCTTTTTTTTAGCAAAGGAAAATATCCATAGTCCATTTTTTTGAAATGTGGGTGGAGTATTTCAGGCTACTTCCTGCTGGTTGGGGGCACTGATAATCTTATGGGGACCTAAAGAAAATTTAGAATTATGATCAAGTCCTGACTGGAATATCCTGTGAGTCTTGATCATCTCAGACAGCAGTCTTGAATCTGTTCTGGATGTAGAACTCAGACATTTGGGCCATCTGTTCCTACTGGAGATTTCTCAGGTGATCTTCCTTGATCAGACCTGATTTTTCCTAACTCAAATGAATCCACAGCCTCTTGTTTCCTGTGGAAACAAAAGCAAAATCTCTTCTCCAAAATAACATACCTTTTGACTTCAATTTTGAAGTCAAGGTATTTTCAAAATATCTATCTTGGATTAATTCAGCAACATTTATAAGCAAATATCTTTTAGCAGCTGTTGCTCCTTCCTCAGCATTC